ATTTGATTTGCATAATTTTAAGCGTGAGCACAGTGCTGCATAATAAGTAGCAGGCAGCCACTGAGCGGACTGACTTGGTTTGCTTTTTTTCATTTAGGCTTTAAAACTTTTGTATGTAGTTATCTCGATGAAGCTACTCAGCTGATGAAGCAATAGGAGAGGAATGCTTTACGAATGCAAATATATACTTATGTATGTAAATATATTGAAAATCCCTTCGACGCGGTGCCAGCAACAAGGAGACGAGACGAGAAAGAAAAGGTCAACTGGTTGTCGCTGTTGCTTTATGCTCTAAGCTTTTCTATGCGGATGTGTTTACATAGGTACATACTGTGCAATTTTAGCAATAATAAGCAAGTTGTTATTTCCATTTTGTGATTCGATTATTTTCTGTTTGTTTGGGCTGGCGCTATTCAGCAAATATAAATATTTCACTTCTACAAAATGTGCAGCGTTCTCCACGCACGTCGCACGTTTTGCGCATGTGGGCGATTTTCCACACAAAACACTCCTCAGCAAGCTTTCTAGGTAGAATTTTGTTGGTTGAAGTACTACTTATTAGGATAGTATCCAATGTGGCATAAATAAACGCTTTCTGATGGCTCTTTTTCAATAATACCTACATTTTTGAAGCTGTTTTTGAAAATCTTAGAATACTAACTCTGTCATTCGAAGGCAACGAAACTCAAATAAATGTTTGATGCATTCAATATTATTTCGTGTAAGTTTGCCTCATCAAACGATTTCACAAATAGCGGCACCCACATACAAGGTTATTTTCGGCAGCTAAATTTTTATATTTTTGTACTGAAAACCTATAGTTAATTGCCGAATGAGAGTTAACTCATCACTGTAAAAACGACCCTAAGCCTTTAAATTGCAAATAAAAATCATAATTGACAACCTTTGAGTCCACTGTTGTGGAATTATTATTTGGAAGGCAGCTGGTTAACGACATTAGCCTACATACATATAAACATGCAATTTTCGATACAATATCCATTTATTTAATTATCTGCTATAGCTTACCTCAATTATATTCTTATTCGTAAGTGACTCGTGTGGCTCATTATATTCGGTATATTTGAGCAGGACCTTGTCCATGTCGGTGCTGGCATATTGATATAATTTATTACTTGATGAGAAGATTATGAGCGCGATTTCACAATCACACAGAACCGACAGCTCGTAGGCTTTCTTCATGACACCAAATTTGCGTTTGTTGAAGGTAACCTGCAGATGAAATAGGCAAAAGGATTAGTCACATAAAAAGGGACTTAATTGTGTTAGTTATTTAAATGCTTGTCATATTTTCACTTTTCCCTCCCCCTTTCGTAGCTCAATGTGGATGTGTGAGTGTTAGTGCTAGACGGAAATCCTTGAACTACGTCCATTATTGCTTTAACTACAACACCTTCGACAATATACGCCTTATCCACTTGTATAGTAACCACACACACACACCACATACATACATACATGCACGCGTGCGTTCACACATACATACATACATATGTAGCTCGAGTACAAGGCAGTGTGCGTAGTTAAGTAGCCCAGCCTTGATTTGCAATGAATCGATATTTATGAAGCACACTCTAAGTGCTTTACGGGGAAGGAAGACATAGACGTAGAACACAAAGCTCAGACTGACAATGCATACAAGCAAGAATGCACAATTATAGGGACAAAAGGGTATACACACACACACACACACACACACACACACACACTGACTGTGTGCAACTACAGCGTTGCATCAGGGAAAACTGGTGAGCGCAAGCTGCTAGAAGCATACAGGGCGTATGAGTGATTTTGCCACTGGATAGCAAAGCCTCTATGTAGTAGTTATGAACAGCTTCTCTAGCAGAACTGCTGCTATTCAGTATCAGCTGTAATACATATACAAATAGAGAGGATATTCAATTACAATGCGGACAAAAGGCAATGTATGTAGCACGGCTAGTGTGTGTGTGTGTGTTTGTATGGGTACGCAAAGGGGGGGGGGGGGGGGGGGGGGGGTTGTGAGACTCGCCTACAGAGGGTACTTCCTAAGTTGGTTCTTGGCATTTACAGAGGGGTACTCATTGCCAATACAGGCGAATGTAAAGTCAAAGATAGTCAACATTAGTTTAGGCTAAATAGTGGAGACCAACCAAATAAATAGTTATTAACACAAACACTTCAATAGCTGAGCACTCAAATTTTCCTTCCGACATCAAACCATAGTTGTTGACCGCACACACACACACACACACAGCTCATTTGCGATTTAATTGGCATTTATTATTTTCTAATTAGACGGTGATTAAATTTGCAATAGCCTTATTAGTAGTTTTCGAGCAGTGTAGCTTGCGGGGACAAGCGCACTGTGATAAAGAAGGTCGCAATAAGTTATGAGCTGCTGAAGTTCAGAGCGGAGAGAAGTTTTAAACCGCCGGCACAACTATTACCTAATTATCAGAAAATTAATTTTAATTATTTCGATGTGAAAGTTTAAATGAATTTGTTATACATTACATAACCATATTTTGGTTGATCGAGTGGTTAGAGGTGCGCACTACCGCACGATAGGTCCCGGGTTCGATCCCTGGTCCGAGGAACGTAAAAAGAGATTTTTGTTTTTTTTTTCATTAGTAGTTACCGCTCGGCAAGCAAAGGCAAACCTCTCGAGTGTATTTTTGCCATGTAAAAAAGCTTCTGGAAAAAATGAGTTGTGAAAACCTGTGAGTGTGATTAACACTCTGAAATTGAATTGGCTGCCTTCATGCCACTCAGATGGCACAAAGATCGACTGATGTTGACACATCTTTTTAACTTTGTTTGGGTTGGTTTTATTTATTGTAAAGATCTTGGTAACGTTATCGTTACAACAATTTCATTGTTATCGGTATCCATATCGATATCGATATTCACCCCAATTGATTTCAACTAATGATAAGATGACATTGGGTGCATTTAATAATGGAGACCAGTGGCGCTTATCGCTTCCTTTATGCTCATCATCATAAGACAAGTACTTTTCATATTACAAATATAAATTAAATGACCGATTTGCTATGCATTCGATTGCCCCACTTTTACTCACCTGTCGATTACGTTCATCTGTGATGCGTGATATCTGTATTTTCTTTCGACCCATTTTGTACCCACCAGAGTCTCCTCTACGCCGTGTTAATTGATCTACTCAGCTCCGTCTAAAAAATATCCAATGCCCAAGTAAGCGGCAGTCCTTCAATGTTTTCTTATAAAAATATTTGCTACTTTTCTCCTTTGGTTTTTGTTTTTGTTGTTGTTGTTGTTTTTGGTCTTGCCTAGTCGCTCTTTAGCGTGCTGCTGTTTGAAGCGGCGGGCGGGTGTTTATTTTTCACGTACCTGGTTTTTGCAATATTTTTTTTTTTTGTTTGCTTTATAGTTGTTTATAAAAATTTATTAAAAGCTTCATGTCTTCCAAGAGGAAAACTAAGCAGTGCCGCGCACAAAGGTAGATTCAGCCTTTAGCTGGATGGACGGTTATGCAATTTTTTGTTGCTGTATGTTTTATTGTTTATGTGATTGAGTGTATGGATTCAACAATTGTACGATTGATTTTCGAACAGGTAGCTCAGTTATGTAAAATGTCCTGCAATAAAAAATAGAAGTGTTTAAAAATGGGTAAGTTTCACTTTTGCAATTATATCTGAATATAGTATGTATAAAATCTTATTAAAATTACTTAAAATTTACTAAATGTTCTGCAATTATCATTATTATTATTTTTTCCCCCTTCATTGTGTGGTCGACCTAATTTTTTCCTTCATAGAGCGAGATTTATTTATAGCCAGCAGAACCAAATCATGTAAATTGGGACGCG